TGGCGCGTGACGTGAAATGAAATGTCGGGCGAAATACTAATCTCTAAGCTTACCATGGCGCTGCTACAATATTGTTGTATTGAGCTTGAACAAAGTGATCCAAACGAATCGCAAGCAGCTACCTCAACTCCTGTTTTCTGTCCACCATAGTTTATGGTAGCCTTGTATTTTATGCAGTTCCTAACATTCGAATCGCACTGAYGTGTTATGGGATTTTGACAGCTTGTGGATGTAGAACTGTGACACASGTAGCAGGTAAGACGAGATTGAGCTGAGGAATTTTAAAACAAAACAGTACGTTTTCTCCTGAAAATCAAAACTGGTTTGTCATAACAGCTTCTAAAGGGTTAACGGTCAAACGTCAAATAATTTGACGTTAATCAATTATTAATCATCAATTATTAGTTATCAATTGGTCAAACGTCAGACCTATACCTCCCCATTTACACCCTCTCATTTGTACATTTTCCCTCGTCGTTTTTGCCCAATGATAGACCTCCTTTCATGTCCTTGGCTCGGGCGTAATGTTTTCCCATTTCAGAACATGTGTCATTCCCTTGAGTATTATTTCTTTCTTTACTAGGAATGCTTTTCAGCTATGGTGCAATGTTTTCCCATTTCAGACCATGTGTCATTCTCTTGAGTATTATTTCTTTGTTTGAGGGAGGGGATACATTATTTGAGTCTCTCAAGCGAATTTGCAAAAGGGCTATTCTTGGCTTTCAACTACGTCATCAAAAAATTTCCAAAGACTTGTATACAACGAAACCTCCACAGACCGAAAGAGCAACTAAAACTGAATATCTCTGCCAAAATTCTAGCTAAAAGAAGTCTTAGATACGAGCGATTGATTATATTTATAATTTAGTCGAAATGTATGGGTCAGCCATCTTTGTGTCCTACTGAGGGACAAAAAAATGGCGGCCAAATAACGAAAGTTGAAAATCATGTTTATATTGCACCCACTTCAATATTTTAATTATAAAAGTCATCATCGTTATAAAGTTAACAATCATCTACTAAAATAAAAACGTATTATTTCCATCGAATTTCCCTATTTCTTATGCTTACGTAATGATTGCGTTACAGAATTTGACTCGTAATAAATCGAAAACCAAACATTGAAATACAAAATTATTTTGCTAAAGCTCCCCAGGGTACCTTTTTAACGGTGTAAACAAAATATTCGAYAAACAGTTTCGTGCATTGAATACTTTGGATTTTAGTTCTTTCATGACGTCACTTGAAAGCTAAGAATAAGAATAAATGGACACGGAGGGACACATTTGGTTCAGCAAGGCATTATACGTACATTTAATTAATCTATTACTTACCTGTTGGTAGGCTTCCTGCAATGAAAGGGGAAAACATAACGTGCATTATTATCATTCGTATGAATTGTGAAACTAACATAAGGGGAGGGGAGGGGCGTAGCGAGCCCATCCCGCCCCAAACATTTGACTAAAATCGTATTTTTTTCTATTTTGTATTGGACTACCTGTGGATTTTGCAAGAATTTTCGCGCCAAAACGCGTGTGCTCGCCCTTCCAGCTCTGGTACTCTCGCAACGGTACTGGTAAGGGGATATATATTTTTTACTTTTAAATAAGCACAGTACATACCGCCACACACAACACCAGCATCTTCATTATGATCACAATTATGGTTTTTCCATCCTCCAGATGAACATCTTGACAATGTTAACTCTGAGCCTGTACATTGTACATCGTCGAGCAGAATAGGGCCTGTTCCTTGACCAAACCTTGCCCCAGATACAGCCTGGGTAGCGCGGGGTAAACCAAGTTGACGACAAACGACGATGGCATCGCTTAAAC